CAGAAAACTATTAATTTTATTATTATATTAAGAATATTGTTTGCGTTATTATTGTTTATTAAAATTACTTGATCTTTAATTAAAATTATTTAATACTACTTGATATAAAATGTAACATAAATTTATATATTTATATAAATATAAATTATATAAATTTATAATTAAAGTAGATAAAATAGTTAATTTACAGTTTTTGAAAGACGTTTGTTTGTTTAAATAAATTTGAAAATAGCAAATTTTAAATTTAAATCACTTTTATCATTAACAAGTGATAATTGCAATTTGTAAATAAAAATATTTATATTTAATTCATTTTATGTTTCTATTACTATTATAATTTTAATTAAAGATCAAACAATTACAAATTTTTATATGGACTAAACACTGCTATCATAATTTTTTCTTACACACTAAATATGTATTGTTTTATCACAATTTAAAATAAAATGGTATATGTATTTAGTAATAATGATTTAAGACAAATATCAAATTTATTTTAATAAGCATTAGAAGCAATATCCATTGAAATTATCACATACAAACATATTAGTTGAAATGTAATTAATTAATTGTATTTGAGTATATTTTTAGGGAAATAGAAATAAACTTCTGTTGTTTTATAATACAATGGTAAATGAAATATGATTTTTAGATTTTCTTTTTTGAGATCTGGAGAATTTTCTGAGTGAACAATTTAAAAAACAAGTTCAGGATTATAAACTAATCTTACTAAAATTATTTATTGTGTTATAAAAGCAACAAGAGCTCATTTTCATTAATTAAGTTACTGACAAATTAATTTATTTTCTTGTACGATATTATTATAGTTTATTAAGTTTTAAATGGTAATTTTATATATATAATATATAAATAGTTTTAAGTATATATAATAAAATCCAATTGTCTGGTCATTCAAATTTGAAACCAACAACTCAAATATGGCACAAAAAGAATTTTGCACATTCTTAATAGTTAAAAATATTTTAAACTAAATCTGTTTTTAAAACAACTGTCATATGAAAGTTTCAAATGATATTTATTAAAAGATTTAAAATAATTTTAAAAAATCACCAAACTTCTTTATTCTTTTGCAAAAATGAATTCTTTTGTTAAAATAATGTTAAAGAAATTTCAAACTTAACTGTCATATGATTTTGACAGTTCCAAATAGTAATTATTAGATTTTGAAAAAATGGAGTTGAATAAAGTATGCTATATAAGTTTCGAATACTTTGAGAATTATTATAATTAATTAATAAATTTAACCAGATTTTTTTATAATAAAACACATAAATTTATCAACTATTTTAAAATTAGTCGCCATTTTGCAAAACTGTCATTTGACAGTTCTTGTAAATAAAACAGTTTCCGAAAAAAATAATTAATTTAAATGTATAAAATTGGTGAAAATATTTGAGTTTAAATTTGAATTAAATGTAATATTTGTAACTTAATTCTTTTGCCATAAAAACAGTAAATTATTTAAATTACTAAATTACTTTAAATTACTTAATTGATAAATTAAATTTATCAAGGTAAATAAATTTGCAACAATTCTAAAGACAGTCGCCATTTTGCAAAGCTGTCAATGACAGTTTTTGCAAGAGAATTCGTTTTCAGTTTGAAAAAATATAATTTAAGTGTCTATAATTAGTGAAAGAAATGATTTTAAATTTAAAATATACGTTTAAACTATTTTTAGATAAATTGGTGAAGTTGGTTCATTAATTTGTGTGCAAAATAAAAGTTGGTAATGTTTTCCCACAATTCACATGTGTCTATTGTGCAAATGTCAAAAAAGAATTAAATAAGGCTATGTGGGCTATGTCTTATAATATTTGTGTAATAACTATAAGTTTGTGACTAAATTATACGTGTCTTGGCCGATCAATCATTTATTGATTGCAAAATTCATTTTGTAAACACATATTTGCAGGTTAGTTTTCAATTTCTTCAAACATATCTTAATTTTTCAATATCAAATATTAATATCCCTTATATATAATTTCAGAACAAGTTTAACAGAATTTGAGGAACCTATTTCAGCATCAAATGGTGAGTGACTTATTATATTTATATCATAAAACTTAAGTTATGTTGTACAGGATACACTTAATCAAACTATCGAAGCAAAGCTGCAACGAAAGAATTTGCTAACTTAACTAAATTATCACAATAATTGAGTTAGATGATTATATTTAACACATGGGGATTATGAAATTGATTAGATGTGGACAGTCATTCTCGGGATAATATATATAAACATATTAATTTGGAAATATGAACATACAACACTCCTTTTTGCACTAATTTATTATATAATAATTTTCACAAACGTTTCGAGACTAGGTTTGTCTCATCATCAGTGTGTTATAATTTAATTTTTAAAATATAGAAACCTAAATTAGCATTATGTGTACTGATTAGCATTATATATACTGAGTACATTGAACGACTTGTAACGGATAACACATAATGCTAATTTAGGTTTCCATATTTTAAATTTTAAATTATAACACACTGATGATGAGACAAACCTAGTCTCGAAACGTTTGTGAAATTATTATTTAATAAATTAGTGCAAAAAAGAGTGTTGTTTGTTCATATTTCCAAATTAATATCTATTTATATATATATATATATAATATATATATATATATATATATTTAATCATTCTTGTTCATTACTTCTCACAACAAGAAGTAAGACAGAATTATATATCCGAGAACAACTTTTTATTTTAGAATGACACAAGTTTTTTAATCCTATATATAAATATATATGAATTATTAATTATGTGAATATGAATCAGTTTTTACATCAACTTTATTTTATAAAATACTGAATTACAAACGTTTCGAGACTGTTATATGTCTCATCATCAAAATTTCTTGCAATATTCACAGTTCGAAAGATATTTGATATTGAAAATTGTATTTTTACTCTTTCAATTAGTCACAAAGGTGATATGATTATCATAATTTACAAAATTGAATATATAATAAGGTATTAAAGTACAAAAACCAGTGATTTCCAATCCATAAGGCTTATGCAGTGCCCCCTTAGGGTTTATTTTCAAAAAAATAATCAAAAAATTAATTAGTGGTGCATGGCATCTAAATGAGTACTAATTTTGTTACGGTTTTGTTGAGTTTTGTTCCAAGATTGTTGATTTTTAAAATTTACTTACACGGTTCAAACAAATTTCAAATTTTTCTGATTTTTTTTTTTAATTTTAAAAAATATAGAAAATTTTATACTTCATATTTGAATTTTAAATTTACAATTTAGTTTGAAAACGTATATATTTAAAATGCTTTATTCTAATCGTGAGAAATATATCCTCAGATGGATTCATTCGGCACCTCTTGCTAATGTAAACATTCTCAAGTGTATTGAGCGATAAGATCCTCACTCTATATTTTATGAACATAATAAAATATATAGTAGTTATAATTATCCATTTTGAAAATGTTTAAAACAATTGTTATTAATCATTGATCAATATTTATTGATTACATTTTTTTCTCGAATATTAAATTCTGGTACAGGAAGTTCCAGCAATTTGCCTTAAGGCACGATTCAATGCACCACTAGTTTATATAATCTTCTATATATAAAAATAAGTCGGGTTTTCCTTCCTGACGAAATAACTCCAGAGCGCACGAACCGATTTCGACAATTTTGCATTCGTTGGAAAGGTCTCGGGCTCCGCAAGGTTTATAGCTAAGAAAATTAGTTGTGCATGGCATCTTGCCTTAATGCAAGCTGCTGGAACTTTACGCACCGTAATTAAAAATTCGAGTAATGACATTAGTGAGAATTATCAGAATTATGCTTGGTTAAGTCAACGAGCAATTCTTGCCGCAAAGAATAATGATGTACACGCACTGAATTTCACCATTCAATCAAAAATTGCTGACGATTTGGTGACATACCAATGATTCCGACTGGTCTTCCGTTTGACTTCAAACGATTGCAATTTCCAGTTCACCTTGCGTTCGCAATAACAAGTCGCAAGGCCAATCGCTTAGTGTTTGCGGGATAAATTTCTAATAGATTATTTAGAAAATCATTGTTTTTCACATGGGCAGTTATACGTTGCCTGTTCACGAGTTGGAAATCCATCCGCTTTGTTCGTGTTAACGTCAGACCAAAAAACAAAAAATGTGGTTTACCAAAAAGCACTTCAATGAAACGGATAATTTGCGGATTCACTTTCATTTACTTAGAGAAGTTCAACTAAAAAACACTTCATTTTTGTAATCGAAATAAATTCATTACTGCTCTGTAAAAAATCAAATTTTTCCTTTTCAAATATAAAACAAACAAAAAATTTCTTCATCTTTCTAGTGTGTTAATAAATCTTTCTTGCTCTCAAAAATTTTTACGTCTGCAATTTAATACTGTATAAAATAAAATTAGTGTAGTGTGCTCACATTCACATAATTAATATAAATATATGTATATGAGATACTTTTACAAGATGAATTTAATTAATTAATTAATTTAACATACTTCATTCAAAGTGGTTCCATTTCAACAATCCTTTATATATGTACATAAACAGCCAATAAATAAAAATAAATATTTATGGGGCAATTCTGCCGTAATAGAGCTCATAAAATAGCGTTATGGTAGTGAAAATAGTGCTGATGTATAGTTGCCGTGCGATCAGGCGTATTTTACATAAAAACAAGGTAGGGGGAATGTTTGAGGATTGTGTTATCATAACATTCTTCCTTGCTTGTTTATATGTAAAATACAATTTTCATAATTTTCACTACCACAATGCTATTTTATGAGCTCTTATAATTGCCCCATTAATCCAAATAAATTACTAAAAAAATATTATAAAAGCTCTAACTACCCTACAATCTTTCACACAGAGTATTACCAAACAAAACATAAATATAATAAATTCCTACCCGAGTATCAAAAAAATTACCATTAAAGCTAACATCACATATTATATATTAAAAAATATCCTCTACTGATTATTATTTGTTTCTCAAAGCTTGACTCAAGCCCGAATGTGTGGGCATCCAGTTTTTCTTGTAAACCATTTGAAATGTGTCCCCGTAATAAGCGTTGACTTGGTTGTTTAAATCGAGGGTGCTTATTGGGAATGGTGAGTCCTAAAAGGAAAAAAGATAGTTGTAGATAGTTGTAGGTGGATTTTTGTTGATGTAGTCCAGTCATCTAAGCTTAAATTAGGCAAGAATCTCGGAATTCGAGATACCCAGCTGTAAGTCTGTAAATGACACCTAAAAGTTGTCTCAAAACCTACATATGGTAGGCCAATACCATATGTAGGTTTTGAGACAACTTTAGGGTGTCAATATACAAGTATTTACATACTTATAGCTAATGGTTTTGAATTATTTTTACTTACGTCTGTGTTATTGTGTGACCATAGCACTTCCAGAGTGGCTATGAATTTGTCTAAATCATTTCCATTGGTGAAAAATAGAACCATGTCTCCACCGGATTCACTTACTTCGTGACAAGCAAACTCCTAAAAGAGGAAAACGATACATATATATATATATATATATATATATATATATGTATATATATATACTAGCTAGCCCGGCAAACGTTGTTTTGCTAAGTACGGTATATTCTAAACAATTTCTAGAGAATCAAAAATATTAACACTTTAAGTGTATAAGGATGTGTTGTTTGAATGCTATATACAATGTGGTATTATAAAAACAATAAACCCCATTAGTTTGACTATATTTTGTCAATACAATCAAATTGGAAGTTTTATACACTTTCTATAGAAAACATGGTATAATCCAATCCAAGTCTTTTTTGCTCTTTCGACTTATTGATTACGTTTCAAGTTTTTCAGATTCTTTTTGGATTCTTGATTTTGTGTATAATCGTAAATAATACTATTGAGCTTATACAAAATTTTCAAATTTCTGCGAGGTTAGATAGAAAGAAAATGAATTAAGTATTTCTTCTTTGACCTGCTTTTTGAAAAGTTTCAAGTAACATACCATGAATTAAAGTAAATTTAATAAAAAGTATATATGTAAGGCAGGGCGAGGCACAAAGGCCCAATTTGACTTTGAGCAAATATAAACTGTATTGTGAAAGCCATAACAATTATATCACAACAAATAACACATTTCAAACAAACAATTATCTGACTACGTTCAGTAAAACTGCCAGCTACTTCATCATTGTAGAAATGTGCTTTTTTGCTGTATTTCAAATATTTGTTATCTAGACCTTTTTACCCCATAGACAGGTTTAATGTCTTATTTTAATTTTAAAGGTATTTTCCAAAATGATTACATTTTTAACTAATGCTAAAAACTACCAATGGAAGAAAATAATTTTATTATGGGTTTTCAAAGATTACCGGTTATCTCCCCAATTTCAAAGATTACGTTTTCAAATCAAGGTTATAGCTGGTTATACATCTTTTTCCCTCTACTTTCAAATATTGTTGTTAAACAATGCTTAACTTTACTGGTTTTTGACATATCGGGGTGGTGGATCTTTTTTTCTCCCGGACCATCATATATTACTATCTATTCTTCGATATATTCAACAAAATGTCCATTTGATCGATATTTAGGTTCAAATTTAGGTTCTGAATTTAAATAACATAAATAAAAAATAATATAACCTAGAAAATGTTTTATAAATACCAATGAGTATATAATTATACAAATGAGATCTTTCAGAGCACCGTGTTTGAGAAAAATATGATTTGCAAAAAAAAGAGTGCTACAACTCTAAAAAGTGCATTTTCATATTAATATTTCAAAAAAGTTGATATTGTTGAGTTTGTAGTAACACTTGCAGCCCTATTACATGATTTTACTGATTTGCAAATTTATAGCTGTTTTTGTAAGAAACATATGTGATTTTATATTTTTATAATTTAGTACACATATTAGGAAATAACATACTAAAATTTTGTAACTTCAGTATAACGTTTTATATTTTTAAATATTTTTCAAAATGCTCATCAAACCGTGGACTTGCAACTATTGCAAGAGCATTTGTTTGCAAAAATTGCACTTTTATAGATTTTTTGGTTAGAAACATATTTGATTTTATATTTTTATAATTGAGTACATATATTAGGTAATAACATACTAAAATTTCATAGCTCTAGTATAATATTGTATATTTTTGAAATATTTTTTAAAAGTACTTCTCATATCATATCCAACCGTCGATTCGCAACTAACAAAAATAGAGTATGCAAGTGTGCATTGCAATTTTGTAGTTTCTTCTGTTAGAAACATATTTGATTTTATATTTTTATAATTCAGTACACATATTAAGAAATAACGTACTATAATTTCATAACTGTATTACAACGCTTTGTATTTTTAAAATATATTTTAAGCCGTCAATTTGTTTACGTCAAAACTTTTACTAATGTTTTTGTGCATAAATAAAGCTACAAACAAATCTACTTACTATAATTTAATCATAATTAAATAATATTCACGTAAAACATTCTATTAAACGTAATTAAACATCATCTGTCAAAAACGTTTGACATTTGACGTATTAGCCACCGTCCCATTGTTTTATTTAAATTACGCTTCTACAAAAATGTTCAAATTAAAAATGTAAAGTTTCTACGAGATTTTGAAATAATATTTCACTTTTCCGACCATCTCTGGATTGGCACGATTTTTTCAAGACTAAGACTGGCCAAATCGGTTTAGCCGTTTACAAGTTTTACCGAATCATTTGATCGAGAGCTCCATTTTTATATATGAGATATATATATATATATATATATATATATATATCTAAGTTACTTACCACAACACAACAATTTTCAACACCCTTCCCACTCGGTATCTTAACAGAGCAGACTTCAGCCAACGAAGCACAGCTCAACACTTTAACTCCTTTACCGAACTCAGACTTTCTACTATTATTAATATTAGCCAACAAATTCTTATCTCTCCTCTGTTGAGTCCCTTCGGAAGCCGACATCTTTCTTCTAATTTTATCCAGAACTTTTTCCACGGATTTCTGGTCAGTAGATGTAGTAAAATGACGCATTTTTGCACTCGATATATCACTTGCAGAAGTGGTTACGGAGTCACTGGCATCACTTGCTAAAGACATGGCATCGTCTTTAAGGATACTAGATTCTTTAACAGATATAAAATTTGTTGGTTTGTCGATATTGGAAACTAGATCCAAAAACATTGTACTACGGTTTGTCTTTAAACTGGTTTCAATATCCATTTGACTTTTAATGTCTTCTGGTACAGTTTCTAATTTGTCTTCATCAACAACGACATCGATTACTTCGTCACTCGTCGATCTATTAGTATCAACAGTCTGATTACATTGTTGCTGTTGACGCAGGAATTCCAAGTATTTTTCCCTGACTGTTAAGTTTGAAGCACTTGGTGAATTTTTTATTTGTTTGTCAGATTTTAAAAGGTATTTACTGGAAGATGGGTTCTGCAAGGTTGTCTTTAGTGGTAGCAAATTATCAAATGATTCTCGTACCAACACGATGTGTTTTGATGTTAGAAGTAGGGTGCTTGCTTTTGCTGGTTTCGATTCAGGAAAATCAAAAACCTAAGGAAGAGGAAAAAAATCATTGTATATGATAAGTTATTAAGTCTATATATGAGTGATCCGACATACGAGCAAAATTCGAGATACAATAAAATCCACACTGCTGGAACAAATTATTAGCATTTCAATGCATTTATGTGGGAAAAATTTCTTTGAGATTTTAGCGCAGTAAATGGAGAATTTTTTACTGTGCTCCAATTTGCATGAAATTTTAGAAATAAGCTAATCCCTTTATGTATAAATTGATATTGAGCCATTTTATCGCTAGAAAACGTGTTTAATACTAAAGAATACTAGTGGTGCACGGCATCGTGCCTTAAGGCAAATTGCTGGAACTTCCCGTACAGTAATGAAATATTCGAGAAATATTAAACGTTTTCAAATATATTACTACAAATACTGTAACTTTCATTATTTTTGCTATCTTGTTATATCTGAGCAATCAAAATCAAATGTAAATCGTAGTGCAACCTGCAGAGCTCCTTAAAACACTAAGATATTGTTTACACCTAATATTGCAAAATGCTCGAATTTGTTTGCAAAATTATTTCTATATCCTTATACATGAAAAAAACATCAATTTTAGTACTTGTTCTTAAAATAGACATACTAAAGCAGTGATTTCCAACCTGTGGGGCGCGCCCCCCTGGGGGGGCGCCATACCTTTCCAAGGGGGGCGCGAAGCTGTTTCAAAAATATTATTTTTAAATGCTGAGTAAGTGTCAGAAACAAATCAGCAAAATACTTAAAGTACTTCTAAGAGTGTTAAGCTCAAAAAAGAAATTGCTATATTTCTTGCTGATAACAAAAGAGACGGAGCAATCTTGTTTTAGGACACAAAGTTATTCGCAAAATTTGCGTATTTAGTTGATATTTTTCAAAGACTTAGCGATTTAAATAAATCAATGCAAGGATCTCAAATTCGTGCTTTTGTTCAGAAGGACAAGATTACGGCTTTAATGAAAAAAATAGAACTGTGTATAGCTAGTATCAAATAACTTTATAACTTTAACATATTTCCCACTTTTAAAATTACTTGTGTTACTGATGAAACAGAAGTAAGTAAAGATCTTATTATTATATCAGTCATATGACTAGTCTACGAAACCAATTTTCGCATTACTTTATCTAATCACGTCCAAATACGAATGGATTAGAAATCCATTCGTCATTGAGAAACATGATGATTTTGGTAATTCAACAGCAGAGCAGAAAATGATAATTGATTTATCTAGTGATAGCACATTGAAGCAGATGTTTCAGGATGGAAATATATTGTTGAGTTTTGGTTACCAGTAAAGGACGATTTTCCTACTTTGACAAATAATGCTTTAGAAATTTTATTACCATTTGTGAGATCTTACTTATGTGAAACAGTAAATTCTTATAAAAAATAGTTATGTTTGTATGTATATTTTTTATAATACTGTGTATTATTTGGCATAATTTTAGTTATATTAAGTATATTTAAATTAAATTGTTAGAAAAATAAGAAGGGGGGAGCGCAATATTTTTTTCATTCGAAAGGGGGGCGCAAGAAAGAAAAGGTTGGAAACCGCTGTACTAAAGTTTAACATATTGAATTTTCTGTCTTTAGCCTCTGCACCCTGAATTTATCTATAGACTTTTCCACGTATTTTTTATTCTTTTTGAGATATAATGAAAACTAGTGGGGCGCATGGCATCGTGCCTTAAGGCAAATTGCTGAAACTTCCCGTACCAAAAATTATTATTTTTTTAAAAACAATTACCATTTTTAAAAAAAAATTACTTCGAAAAAATTAGATTTTTGAGAAACTATAAATTCGACAAAAAATTACTTTTTTTTGAAAAATATGTTTTATTTTGACATTTTTGGAAATTTTGAACTTTTTTTCAAAGCAATCGTACTGCTTTGACTGCATAGAGATTTATACTTATTGTTAAAATATCTATAAAACATCTGATAATTTGATGTGCATATGTCTAATGTTCATTTTTGACCGCCAAATGGCATTTTTTTACATTTTTCATTAGACTCCGAAATCGCTAAACCTGCCTTCATGAAAATTTGATCAATTCTTCATCTCGTCAATACAAGTAAAATGTTTTTTAAATTATTAAAATCGGACGCTCCGTTCTCTTAAAAACTGAGTTACCATTTTTGGCACTTTTTGCCCCGTATCTTCGGAACGGCTAGACCTGCCTTCGCAAAAAATTATCGGCACGTCTCCTTATAAATACGAATAGAATGTTTTTTGAATTATTCAAAATTGGTTGATCCGTTTTCTCGAAATTGTCGACGAAAATTTGTATCCGAACACACACACGTACACGCACGTACACGCACATACACACACACACACACATACATTCATTTTTTCTAAGGTATGCCAAAATATTCAGAAACCTTTGAAACGTAAAGATATATAAAAATTTTCATTTTCGATTTTTTTGCGATTACTATAACTCGCCCTACGGGAAGGTAATAGGTTGGGTTTTTAAAAAAATCTAAAAAGTTTAATTTCATAAAATTGTGAGTTTTCTGAAAATGATTTGTACTAAAGTAGTGAATCTGGTAGAATCCATCAAGATCTTTATAAAGTGAATTCTAGATGAATTGTAGATAACTTTCATTTTGGTGTAAATGACGCTCATTAAACCGTATGATTTAACTTGAAAAGTATTTGCTTTTTTGAAAAACATTATTAAACATTTTTCTCTCCTAATTAGTTCTTTTATCGATACCCGATGTTATCTTGAAAGTGATACAATTGGACTACTGAAAAGGGACGTCATCCCCCTGGGATGTGGCAAAGGTGTCTAAATTATTTCCACTCTTAAACTTGAGAGTAAGATGAACCTAATTCCAAAATTTCATGCAAATTGGAGCACAGTAAAAATAATCAGTCCCAAAACGCTCCATTGACTGGAGTATATATATCTAACAACCAATGATTTATATTTATATTTTATTTCTTACCCCACTCGATGCCTGTATAAGTGCTTGCAACCAATCACTCGCAGACTGTTCATCGCTTGCAGCCAACTGCAGTCTGCTCAAATTCCTGCTAGAAC